AAAAAACAAAAAAAAAAAAAAAAAAAAAAAAAAAAAGAAAGAAATGGATTTGTTTACAAAGCAAGTAATTATTTAAAATATTTTTTATTTATTTTATTTTATTTTTTATTTTTTTAAATTTTTTTCCTTTTTGTCTTTTTTCGTGTCCGGCAATGGATCGCAACCCTCAGTGTCGCACCCATACCGGACCGGGACGGCAACAGGATCGCAACCCTCGGTGCTGCGCCCGCACCTCGCTCAGCCAGTGAGTGGGAACCAGTCTGTATGTGGGATCCGAACCCTCGGCGGGAGCGCCTCCGCGCTCCCAAGCGGCGCACTGTAGCAGTGCGCCACCGGGCTGGCCCTATTTAAAATATTTAATAGTCATTCAATGTTCATTAGCTACATTCATTCAGTAACTGGATAAGTCTGTTCTCTGTGGTTTATAACAGAATACCTGAAACTGGGCAATTTATAAAAAAAGAATGTATTCCTTACAGTTTCAGAGACTGGAAAGTCCAGGGTCCAGGGGGACACATTTGGTGAGGACCTTCTTCTTGGTGGAGACTCTGCAGAGTCCTGAGGAGGTAATGCAGGGTATCACATGGGTGAGTACAAGAGTGTTCCACATGCCTTCCTCCTTTCTCCATAAAGCCACCAGCCTACTCCCTGATAACGCATTAAATCATTAACCCATTAATTCCTGAACAGGCTAACCCATTCATGAGGGCATAGTCCTCACAGTCCTTATCAGCTCTTGAAGGTCCCACCTTTCAAACTCCATAGTTGATTTCCCACCCTTTTAATACTTTTACAATGGGGATTAAATTTCAGGATGAGCTTTGGAGGGGACATTCAAACCACAGCAGTAAATATTTATTGATCTCCTACTGTATGCTAGGTATTGTTACAGGTTCTTGGAAAATAGGAGCAGCAGCAAAAAGCAACAAAGCTTTCAGCCCTGAATGGGGCTTATACTTTGGAAGGGAGAGAGAAAATAACCAGAAAAAAACCCTAAAATATAGGACGTTTTAGATGGTGGTAAGCACTAAGAAGAAAAATAAATGTGGGGGGAGGGATGGACGGGGGAGGGACGTGGCAACTTATATGGGTGGCCAAGGAAGACATTACAATGCACATATTCCTTAGAGTTTAGGACCGGGTAGCATTTCACCTACTGAAAGGTATCTGATATATTTTTATACATGACCAAAATAATAATGTAAGAGGCAATAAAAAAGTGTACAGGGTTTTAGGGTTCTAGATAACAGCGCTTTCTAAGATTTAATCCATAAGGAGAACTCCTATATATATATATACACATGGTTTCCATTTTACCTTAATAATAATACTTGGGGGGAGGGGCCTCTTTTTTTTTCCTCAAATTTATTTTTCAAGGAGCAGCAGGACTGACTTTTTCTCTACTCCAGGGAAACCTGCAAGGAGGCTACGCGTGCTCTGGAGAACAGGTACTATGTCTCGTTTTTATTTTTTTAATTTCCCAGAGCCCACGATAGTGTCTGGCACACACCGTTCAAAGCAAGTTTGGTAGCTGGAACCCAGGGAACCCGCTGAATGTGCGTGTCCAGGAACTATTAACGACAGGTGCAGGTCCAGGGGAGAACGTCCAGCTCCAGGGTCTGCCCGGGCACGGCGCGTCTCGGCGGCCTCATTCAAGTCGACGCTCATGGGCAGGTTTCTAATGACATCTCCCTCTAGCTGGATTGGAACGCTTTGGCGCTTCCTCTGCCGAGATAGCACGAAGTTACGAAACGTGTTCCAGTCTGCTCTAGAGCCGGGGCCCACCTAGAGGGACAGCCGTGCTGGAGCGAGAGGTCAGATTCGTCCTCCGCCTGCGCACTGGACAGCTGCGCCTTCGGGCCGCCCCTCTCGGAGGTGGGGGCGACGTCCGCCTCTTTGTCTCCCTGCTGTTCTCATCGCCCCCTCGGTCCCCGTCCGAGCTGCCCAACCCCCGAGCCTCCTCCCGCCGTTCAGCCGGGCCCCAGGTGCGCCGAGCTCGGAGCCGAGCCACTCTTGCTGCGGAGGGCCGCCAGCGCGCTCTCCCGCCCCGCCTCTACCGGCAGCCCCCCCACTGGCCCCC